CACCGCGCTCAGCCAGTGAGCACTGTGAGCGCACAGGTCATCCCTATATAGGATCCGAACCTTTAAAAAAGGTTTGGTAAGAGAAACAAACTAAGGCTGGTAGGAGACACCGAACTAAAATTTAGTAGCAATTAAAAATAAAGACTTGGCAGAAAAAAAACCCCAAAATACAACAAAACAAAACAATTCAGGCTTCACATTGTTTAAGTTCTAGTGGGCTATAAAATCCCTGACTTCATGTTTGTTTGTTTGTTGTTATTTTGTTTCTAATAGGGCTTTTATTTTTGTAACTTTCTTTTCTCTTTTATTTTTCTGACTTACCTAACTCACATTTCTTTTCCTTTTACTGTTTTTTATTCCTTAAGCACTTTCTCTCAATCTTTCTCTCCCTCTAAGAGAGATTCTATTATCTCTAATTTCCTTTAGGCTATGGGACAGTTTCAGGTTTTCCTGGATAGTCTTTGGGTGATTTGTTTTGTGATGTTTATTCTAGACCTACCCTTTTGTCAGTTTGTTTATTTTGAATGTTACACAAAGATCTCTCTTTCTATAAACTTTTTCTTCCCATAGTGTTTGTAATGTCACTCTTTTCTAGTTTTCCTGCTACTTCCCTTGTTGCTCCTTCTTAGCTTTCATAGGCTCCTCTTCTGTTCTTTCCTTACAAAGCTGTTATTCCCTAGCAATTCACACCCTGTTGTGTTCATATTCTATGCCTTCTTGGTGAATTTACCACTTATATGCTGATAACAAATCACTTACTTTTAATCACCACTGTCTCCAGTGCCTATAACAGTGCCAGATCTATATAGTAAAAGCTCAATAAAAACATGTTCAGTGTTTAACTCTCAAGTCTACATTTCTATCCTGGATCTTGTTCCTCTGTTCCAGATTTATATCCTATGTATCTCTAGATTAAATTTAAATGATACATTGAGCATGTCTAAATCTTAACTTACTGGCTCTTCCTTACCTCTCCTAACTCAAAAATAAAATGAAATAAAAAACAAACAAATCTATTCTTCCTCCAGTAGCTCTCATCTGAAGGAACTATGTTATCATCTGTCAGATTATAAAGATAGAAACCTGAATGCCATCGTTAATTCCCCCCCC